CGTTAGAATGCTCCTTGCTATACGTGAAAGCTGTAAAACTCCTTTAGAATAAAGACTGTTGTATCATGGCGGTGTGTAGGTTCCACGAGCTACATTGGCGCCTCTAATTTTATCAAAAACACTGTAGTACTATATATAAGGAACTCGGATAAATTTGCTTGTCGGTTGCTACTACATATACCATGCGTGAAATTTTTACTCCTATGACGCGCCTATTCCAATATGTACTAGAAGTTACTACCTGAATCAAGAAAAGTACATGATCGTTCTGCCGTCCACATGTTTTTGCACGTAACAAATCGACAGGACTACAGCTTTCGCTTCTCCCTTCTAGCCAAGTTGCCAGCTTAAGTGATTCTACTAACGAACGTTTAATGCTAATCTAATGTATAATAGAGGCCTGCATATTGGTTTTTACGCTGGTTGTCGCTGCAGTGGCTAGGCCGACCTCTGCCTTTTTATTTTAGGACAGCTACAAATCTATCAACTGAGTTCTATCATTAAGATCTACAACGTTATCCATTTGTGATGCATCGCTTACATTTGGCATTCAGCCCACGGAAAGCTTTATAGTAAGTCTGAATTGACACAACGAAAACTAGCTAGAACGGTCTGTCGTGGACCTGAGCTGAGCTGATGTAACGCCGAATGGGATGTTCCGTTTTACAAATGGCTTCCTTCGCACCACGGTCTCCGCTTTCTCTACTAGCAACTTAGTGCTTTTCCGCTGCTTTCGTGCCTGGCTTAAGCTCGTTTTGCTGGAAGCGGCTGAAGGTGGTCGTTCAGAAGGAAAAATGAACAATGGCAAAGTTGTGTCACAGAAGGGGGAACAAAGGGAACAATTAAACCATGCGAGTCCTCGAGACAAACGAAACCAAGGTACATTGCGATCGTTACGGGATACCCGACAAACCCGAGCGCTTTGTAAAACATGGCAAAACAGGAAAATAATACTCTGGATAATAGATGAAATCGGCGAAAATGCTATGATTTATTTAAAAAAAAAACTTAGCCTCTTTTTTGTTACATTCTGTTGTGGAGTATGAAGACGTCCATCGAAGTGAAGCCGTGAAGTTTTTTGCCGGTACGAGTGGAAAGAAGCATGTCGCTTAGAATTATTATCTTCTTATGTATTATTATTACATAATAATTGACGCAGTTCAAGAAGCCGCGTTCTTATAAATGAATGGCGCAATATTAGTAATGCATATGCAGTTGTACAAAGTTGTTGAACTATATAGCAATAACGTTTTACCATTAGTTAGATTTTCTCTTTAGCTTTACTGTGTCCTCCTTACCACGTTGCCAACGGGGTGGTTTGTAAACAGAGAAATAAGGAAACACCCAGTCAGTTCCAATGCGACGGCAACTTGTCAAGTTTCGGTGCCACGGACGAGCGTCGCTCTTGCAGTTTTACTCTGCATGATACAGGCCTGCCTACGGTTGTGAGTACAGGAATAACGAATAATGCAAGCGTCTTAGGTTTTGCCAATCGGTCAGAACGAAGGCGGTAGGCCTCGCCTTAAAAAACCATGCAGTTTCGAAGTCTCGATAAATATTCGACCGCTAGCGAAAACCCGTTCTGCCTTACATGCTTGTGTAGGGTTGACTTGTTTCTTCTTGTTGGGCACGTTTTCCAATAGACTAAGCTCCGCCAAACCCGCTTTGTTGGCCAGTGCTCGAAGCACATAGCAGCAGCTAAGACGCTGCATCGCATGAACGTCAGTCATTGTATTTGCCATTTGTTCCCGCTATATCGAGAAAAGAATATAGGACGCATTATGCCGACAATATCCACACACTAACGAAAGCCTGAATCGATTTTGGTCCAATTCGCTGCCTCGGTGGAAGTTGAGATTTCAAAAAGATCTAATTTAATAACCCAGCGGTTTATATCACATAATCATTTGATGAAGACGCTACAACGGGCGCTGTCTGGCGAATTTTTTTGTAGCATTAATCTTCATAAAGTGTAGGCAAATAGATACTGCTACAGTTTCTGGTAGAGTTGATCAGTACTCGCGTCAACCATTGTTTTTGAAAAATGGAACTCATCAACAGCCTTCTGCTACGTATCTCATATACAATATTCATTGGCCTGACAATATAGTCAGACTACCTTTTTGTGGTAACAAGAACCTGACTTTATCTGTATAGAGAACCTTATCTGTAAAATCGCTAGAAGTGCTATTATATGTATTAATATTATTATTATCATCATCAAAATTAGGTCGTAACAAATGACGTCGATGCGTCCATTTACATAAATCAAGTGTTGAAAAGTCCAAAACGAAATTGTGATTTAAGTACTAGAACTTATCATTAAATAACTATTCTATCTTACGTTTGTCGCTCCTTGCTACTTTCGTTTCTATACTTCTCCGTATAAATTATACTGGTGCATAGGTTTATAACAGTATCTACCGGTTATTCAAATGTCCCTACACAGACTCGTGCAAGACAATTGTTTACAACCACAATCATAATTATTTACAATAACTTTTTTAAAAAAATATCAGATACACATTTCTAATGATTATTGACAAGTTAGTTCATTCTTAACTGCTAAAAGCTGTTCTGTTATAGGTGCCGTATATACTTAAAAAAGCTTTTATGAAAAATTTAGTGCTGGTTTTCCTAGGCCCCCATAATTAAAAGAAAACTGATATTTGCAAAAAGGTATTTAAAAGTGTCCGCATACTTATGTGATGTATTTATATCTGCTAGGCTCGTCGTTCTGTTCCATAAAGGCCACCAGCCCTCCTCTGCCTTCATTTTCTGGATCCAACTCTTAGGGTCATCGCATCGCGTCCTAATTGGACTCAAGGGAGGTTCAACGGAAGCAGCCGAAGTGTTTTGAAACGTTAGCAGCTAAATAGCTAGTAGGTTTATTCCAATTTCAACAGCCCGAGGGCCAGTTGGTTTCATCTGGACGTCGCGACTTTTGTTTCGTATCCAAAATTGCTCTCTTTTGCCAGCAAGACAGCAGGGACAAGGGCGACATCCTGAAAGGAGCTAGAGCGATCAGCCACCTGTGTTAAAGTTGACTTATCAGAGGACGAATGAATCAGGGAGTAAATAGGTGCCTGCTTCTTACTAAGGTGCCATTGAAGAACTGAACGAAACTCGACCTGACCTCTACGGCATAAAGAATACGGGGGCGAGTCACTTCTGTTACTGACCCGCTTGAGAAAAGCGCGGATACATGTCTTCGCTCGTTCGAAATTAGAGAGCTTTCGCTGAGCGTTTGAACAGCATGTTAGCTAGATCTGATATCTGTTTAAGTTAAGACAATGAATGTTCATCGTGAAAGGGGATATTTCTCTACCGCGTGTTGTTTGAATCACTGACCACCGATACACAGCGTTATTACTAATAACTCTAATTTAATCTGTCCCACCAAGTTTGTTAAACTGTCTGACAATTGTAGCCGATGAGCCTATTTTAGGCTGTCTGTATGCTTCCCTCCGCGTCCTGGTATTTCGTAGCATTCCATAAAGGGTCCCAGCCGCTCATTCCATAAAATATCCGAAGTACTATATAACACTCCTCGAATTTAATATATGATACGGCCATCGCAAATGTGGCTTAAAACACTATTGTTTACTGCCCGATAAATAACCCATAATAATATTGAAGCATGAATCGTACATATTGGTATCCAAAGTTCTGACAATAAACCTCACGCAATGCCATTGATTTGGAAGTTTTACCCCTTAACTGATATCTTATCATATATGTGTGCACTTGAGACCACGCTAGCAACAGCTGGCAAGGTCGTTTAGAGGTCGAACCGTTAAACATTGTTCGCTTAATACAAAAACCGTTTCGAAGGACGCCTGCCTGACTAACATGATTCGACCAACCAATGAACAATAAAATCTTTACTTTCCATGTAACGCCATCTGCTTGGTTATTTCACAAAATTGTTGAAGTCGCTGAAACTTGAAGAAGCTTCTGTAAAAAAAAAAAAACAAAACGGTACTGTAAATAAAAAAAATGTATTTTAGCACCTCTCCTTTCGTATAGTAGTTTATTGGTAAACACACGCCGAAATTTGCTCGAGTAGGTGTTACGAGTCAAATGATTTTTGAAAGTTGGTTGAAAGCTTTCCTAAAGACAAAAAGGTAAGCAAGCAGACCTAAAGACGACAAAAAGCTAAGCAAGCAGACCTAAAGACGACAAAAAGCTAAGCAAGTAGACCTAAAGACGACAAAAAGCTAAGCAAGTAGACCTAAAGACGACAAAAAGCTAAGCAAGTAGACCTAAAGACGACAAAAAGCTAAGCACTCCTCTAAAGACAAAAAGCTAAGCACTCCTAAAGACAAAAAGCTAAGACAAAAAGCTTCCTAAAGACAAAAAGCTAAGATAAAAAGCTAAAAGCTAAGCACTCCTAGCTAAGCACTCCTAAAGAAAGCACTCCTAAAGACAAAAAGCTAAGCACTCCTAAAGACAAAAAGCTAAGCACTCCTAAAGACAAAAAGCTAAGCACTCCTAAAGACAAAAAGCTAAGCACTCCTAAAGACAAAAAGCTAAGCACTCCTAAAGACAAAAAGCTAAGCACTCCTAAAGACAAAAAGCTAAGCACTCCTAAAGACAAAAAGCTAAGCACTCCTAAAGACAAAAAGCTAAGCACTCCTAAAGACAAAAAGCTAAGCACTCCTAAAGACAAAGCTTGTTTAGGGGATAAAGTGCAGAATTAGCACTCCTAAAGACAAAAAGCTAAGCACTCCTAAAGACAAAAAGCTAAGCACTCCTAAAGACAAAGCTTGTTTAGGGGATAAAGTGCAGAATTAGCACTCCTAAAGACAAAAAGCTTGTTTAGGGGATAAAGTGCAGAATTAGCACTCCTAAAGACAAAAAGCTTGTTTAGGGGATAAAGTGCAGAAAGATTAGTACACGAAGATCACGTTTAGGTAATTATCTAACTTTTCACTTTATTTCGTTTAGTTCTCTGTCGCCTACTGTCTTTTTATGTCGGATCCTTCTCTTCAAAACCATTAGCGTGCCGGTGCGACAGGCCTCATGTTCACCGCCTTTAGAGCAACTTGTTGGCCTTGTTTTGATCCCGTCGGCGGCATCTGCTGCGGCCCTGACTTAGCAATCATTGGAGCACCGCCGACTTCAGAGCCACCCGCCGCTTGCACCTTCGGTCTTTGTTGCGATGGCATACCCTGTGGTACAGGTCCATGGGGTCCCACTTGACCGCCAACGATCTGACGGGTCATAGGTGGCCTCAACTGAGCGGTACCTACCTGGACAGGCATAGCCTGCTGGACTTTCTGGCCAGCAGCCACATGAGTAGTAGTTGGAGCTATCATCTGGCCGGCACTCGCTTGACCAGTTGTTGGAGCTATCATTTGGGCGTCCACTTGTCCGGCCATAGGGTAGCCCTGAGGCGCTCCCATCATAGAAACAATCACGGGCTCCTGCTGACCAGCCGTAATAGACAATACGACGGGGGTGACTTGTTGGCCACACGGCTGGCCGTACATTTGACCATATGGCTGGCTGTACTGCTGGCCATATGGTTGGCCGTACTGCTGGCCGTACTGCTGGCCGTATTGCTGGGGATACATCTGGCCGTACTGCTGGGTGCTTGGCTGGTTATACGGCTGGCCGTTAATCAAAGAAAGCACAGCTGGTTGCTGATTCGGACACAACGTCGATACGATAACCATCGGCTGTTGATACTGAGGGGCGGGCGGCATCATCGGCTGACCGATGTTATCCATTGGAACAGCGCCCTGACCGGTCAGTAACTGTCCATACATTGCTATGCGTTGTTCGATAGTTCTACCAACTTCACGAAATATCGTCTACCATTTAAGGCAATTTCGGTTGAATTTTGTTGTCGCAGAAAAACAGTTTTGCGGAATATATAATCGAGATTTGTAATTAACACCTTCTCAATATACGCGCTTCAAATCCGGATGTGAACTCCAAAAATATGCGGGAAATGTACGTTATGGTTTCAAATGGTATACATTCAGCATCTATGAACGTATATAATACGCATACGCACTTATGTATACATATCTGATTGATTCTACAATAGCGTACGATAACAAAGTTGTACCATAGGATATTTTCAGAGTTATCGTGTTCTTTATTGTAAAGGTGGCGTAGCTTTACGATAGTTCTGCGGAGTCGAGTGAGTGTTTGTGAACTAACAAAAATAAGAAATACGCAAAGTTATTTTGCCTTTGATTTTGTACAGTTAGAGTGTTGGGCATGCGAAAATATCCATAGTGTTCTCTACGGAAGTGCATGCAGGAGTTGAAGTTACCAGTCCTTCTATATTCTGAGATTCCTCAGTTGTAGAACTGCTATGGCGGAACACCAGCGCGAAATTCAATGGGTAAAAAACTAGTTTTTAAGCAGCTAAGAGATAGCGTGAATAATAAGTTGTGTTCTTCACAATCATTGTAGAAAAAAGCAAGCGTGCATTACCGATAGATCTTACCTTAGATTTACCTTATTATCTTAGATTACCTGACATTTTCGGTCTACCTTTAGCGGCAAATTGCTTCGTGATTGTTTTGTAGCATTAAATTTCTTTACATGGTTTCATGTACCGCAAACAGGATCTACCGCATTCATTATGTGAGCAAAGCAAATATAGGCGTTTCTTTTATAGGCACAGATCTCTCGTTCGCAGAGGGTGGAAATCAAGAGCTCCTCAAAGAATATGTATTACGTTTCAGTTGACACGGTCGAGGAGCACTCTGTTTCCTGGAAACCTCATAATTCAACCTTTCTGCTTGTTGGCGGTAATTAATACCGATGCAGTTTTTGGACTGCGAAAGAAAGGGTACCCCCTATTGTTGCTAACCACGAAAGGACAATTTATACTAGTTTTTATGAAGGCGAAGAACTGATTTTATCGAAAAGGGCTTCAATGATCAATTACCTACCATTTCAATAAACACTTGAGAACACTGGAGTCGAGCTCGCTTTGCAACTGAGTCTCCAGTGTCGAGTATTATATTGTTTTTTTAACATGTCAGTGTCAGCAATATTCGACAACAGGGTATCTCTTCAACTCAGCGAGCGACAACGGCACGGCTCATATGAGATTTAGGTGGTTTTTTTCCTCTAATTATGGTAAATAAAGTTCGAACTTAGTTACTTGATATTAGAGTGGCGAATAGGAACGGCCTGCGCTTTAACGACAGTCTTGAGGAGCGCTGTTTCTGCCAAACCGATGTATTTGAATTTTTAAATTTCCCGCCCAATAGCCTAGATGGTTCATTTAATTATGTGGGAAGCATGGATGTAAATCAGGGCTCAAACTAGCCGGGAAGGAAACTCAATTGAGTGCTTATCAAAGCGATCTATGAAAATCTTCCTACGTTTATACAGCACTATTTTATGACATACGGAGATTTATCTACTACATTGAATTCATTAATGTCACATATTGAAACAGTTGCCCATATCGAAGCTGAGGATTTTCTGTTCTTACTTGTCAAATAAAACGAGCATATTTTGGATCTAAAGAGGAAGAAGCGGTTCAGAATGTTTAGCATTAGATTTACGAAGCAATTGTGAATTATATACTGTGACCGGCATCGTATAGTAATATGGATAAAATGCCAATGGTTTACAAGATTTAACTTGCCTTCTAATGATAGCAGTTTGAAAGTTACTCCAATAACAAACCACTAACAACTTACGAATATTACCATTCGCTTACAAGACAAATATATGGCAAAGTGATGCAGAAGCCATTTCAGGCTATTTTGTATCGGTCGCGCGATGCACAGTCCGAAAATCAGATGAAAATGAAAAATCACTCGTACAATAAAGACCGCTGTTTTTCCGCGGAGGCAGTAACATTTGCCACCCTACATAACAACCTCAGAGCATGAGTATATCATATAGAATAGCATATGTTGGTAGTATCCTAATTCTGTATCATCAATCATTAAATAAAGCAAATCCACTTCGTTACCTTTACAATAGGCTCCACTTAAAGCACAATCATTCTATGGAGAAATAACTCTTTTGTCTTCAAAGGGCTTCTCAAGGCCTCTTACGGTATGCCCTTATTTCATTTGTGACTGCTACTTTATTGATACAACAGGTTCAAAAATCTTTCGACAGATTAACGTTAGAGAGCGAAAACGGTCATACAGGGCCATTGTCTATCTGATAAGCATATAGTGCTTGGCTACCTACACTTAGTGGGTTTTCGGTCAGCAATTCGTGCCCAAAGCTAGGGGTAGTTTAGTTAAAAAAAGCGAAGATTATTTAGCAAAAAGCCACAAGCAACTTTGAACTCGAAATGTCAACGAACCAAGCGCAAACGTAGTTGGACTGCCGCTTGATGCTCAGCCATTTTTCTTCTGCGTCAGTTTACCAAGGGAAATCCAATTTCAGAACAATTTGTTGATGTTCTCAGAACCCCAAACATCGGTTTAGATTTAGATCGATTTAAGTCTCGATCAAGTCGATTTTTTTTCATTCATTTTAATCGATATATTTAAAAACCTAAAACAACAAATGAAAACCTAGTCTAGATAAACAAATACCAGAACACCATTTCGGCTAGTTCAGAGAGATTTGCGTCAGACGGGGCCGAAGGTCAACGATGTGTCAATGTATAATATTGTAAATTTCAATAATTGCGGTGATCTACGTAGTGAATGTCAAACATCTGTTCAATCAAAATAAGTACGTTCCTTAGTTTGAACAGCAGTGGGTATCACTATAGCTAAAATGAGTTGCCTTCTGCCATAGCAGCTATAAGAGTAGCATATTAACCAAAGAAATGTAAACCAGCTGCACCCTATGTCAGACACAAGTGAAGTACGCGGGTAGCAACCGGCGCATGCTCTGAAGGACAACCATAGCATGAAGCATTACCCGTCCCCAAGCATCTTTATTTGGTACGCTCAGAATGACACGTCATTGTTTGAGATAGTCTTTAAATTCATCTCTCAACTTATTTTATATACTGGATATTAACTGGGTTTCAACTACGAATCGATGGTAGCGTAATATTTTAGTGAGAACGGTACCGGACACAAGATAATTACTTTATACGATACAGAACAGTATCATTCCAATTTGCAATCTAGCTCGTCCCAGAACACCTGCTAAGTACCGTCTGCCTCTACCTACGGTTAGATGCAATTTTCTTTGGGGCAAGCATAGCTGGTGTCGCTGACGGCAATGTCGATGCCTTCTTTATTCCGTATGGTTTTAATGGTCGTTGTGACCCGCGTAAGCCATGAGGATGCACTGGCGGCACGAGGGTTTTAGCGAGTGAAGACTGCATACCGAGTTGCTGCTGTACACTGATGTGCTGTTGCACGAAACTACTCAAGTCAATTACAGTTTCTTGGCTGCCCACTTGTAAAATCATACTTGGTTGATTTATATCGCTGGTCCAATTTGCTGGTTGTCTAACGACGTCAGGAACCAACGGCGCGGGGGCCTGCGGATACTGAGCCTGACTGGTTATCACTAACATGAGGGGAGGCTGCATATTCTGCTGTGGCTCCAAGGCACAAGAGGGATAAGGAGTGCCTGCTCGAGACTGGGCTCTATTCGGTGCGAGGCGATACAATGGTGAAATATATGGGATCATTTCACTCATTTTACTACTGACCTAGCCAAAGTAAATGCTTCGATTATTTCTTGTTACGAGAGTTTACAAGACGTTTATGCGGTGTCCGGCTTATGATGTTGGTCAGAACAATGATGATGTTGATTCGTACCTCGTCTCTTACAAGCTGAGCCACAACTTAACTTTGTTGTTTTTGTGAATCAAGCGTTTTTTTTTTTGTCAAATGCCGAAAGCGTGTAAAAGCGAAATGCAGAAAGAAAAAGGGTTGATTTTTTTAGCGCCTAAAAGACAATTGTCGAAGTGGTGTGGTTGTGGTCCGACAGAAAATATTACTTCGTCGTAGATTTCTTACTAAGGTGCCGTTTTCCGTAGTTTCTGAGGGCTGCCCTTTGACTTACGTATAGTAGAAGGAAAGGACTGACCCGTTTTGAATCAGATGCGTCACAAAGGCAATTCAATTTTTCTTTTGTCACAGAAGTTCTCAAGAAACTAAACGTTTTACATGTATTAATGAACTGACGTTCGATTTTTTTTACTTTAGAACTTTCTGTTGACACGTTCTTTGCAACCTTACCTGCTTTCAAAAAAGATCCGCCAAGGAACTTTATGTTGGTAAAACATATATAAAAATATATATATGTAAATAAATGTAAAACATATATGGGGATCATATATGTTCCCGCTAGCGTTAACTTTTGGAGTTGCTATTAATTAATGATGCGCATTTTATATGTAGTATTATATAAAGCCTGATAAATGGTGGCAGTGATAATTATCAGCTCGCCCCTATCCTTCCCCGCCTCCAACCCCCGACACAACCACAAAAAGCTTGCGTCGGTAAGAATAGGTCTTCATGCATATCTAAGTAGATGTATGTTGATCTCGCTTTCTCCTATGTTTTTACTGTTTTAGGTGAATATATATATAATGCGTTAGTTTCAAAGTGGCCAAGTTTTCAGATTTCAAAGTAGTAGACTCGGGGAAGCAACTAGTTACGGGTTGGGATGGAGTCCGGCAGATTCAACCTCGCCTCTGCTAAGTGCTGCACATTTTAGTACGGTCTGGCTCCCCGCTGCAGCAGCAGCAGCACCTGATAAAGCCGACCATGCTGCCAAGGTAGCAATTGTATGCAAATCCAGGCTATTTTTTGAGGTACGAACTGCTCTGATTCAGCTAATTAGCGGCATGGGGCGTTTT